CCATGTTCAGACAAAAATGAAGCTCAAATGAGACAGAACAGAACATCCTTAGAACAACAAATTTCCAAACACCGGTGCCTGCCACTCTCACTAGCGGCTGCTACAACACAAAACTGAGAGGAACTCAAACACCTGAGAATCAAACCTGACGGAAACCCAGAAACCTGGGGACCCAAGCCCGACGGCTCATAATTACATTGTGTATAGAACCCAACTCAACAAGTTATGCTGTGCCCAGCCTCCTCAGAGTCCCAGATGAGTACTCCGAATAGAAACAAGTGGTGGGATATAAACTCACCTATAACCAGGAATGACTCCTCCTCCGAAAACTCAGCACGAAGCCCGTGAGTCAGGAAGCTGGATACGCTGAGGGACCTTATCAAGTCGCTTCATGGTGACCTCCCCAGATTGCCAAGCCAGATTCCAGAACAAAGGACGGCCACTGCTAAGCTCTCACCAGAGACTTAACTCTGGCTGGGGCCTCCAAAATCTTGGCGAGAGCACCAACGGACACAAGTGCAGGATGTGAGGAGGAGTCTTCATGGACTAAGCTTGGCAACCGCAGCTCCAAGCCACATCGCAGGAACAACTGCACCACCCAGCCAGAGCTAGGGGTTTTTAAGCTCTCATTAAGCCAAAGCAGCTGGGCATTTTGAGTCAACTCAGGTGGTACCTATTACTAATCAATCAACTTGCATACCAGGCCAATCAGGTACAGAAGCAGATAGCTGTGTTTATCCATCGCTGGAAACCTAGTACTGCCTTGGGGTGCCATTAGCCAGCCAGCTGCACCCTATCACAAAATTAGACCGCAAATCAAGTTTCATAAACTGAAGAAGATTTAAACCTTCCATAGATCTTCACATCACAAAGAATAAAACTAGAAGTCAACAAGAACAACAAAAGAAAATTTAAATACGTGGAAACTCTACAAGCTGCTCCTGGTTGCCAGCGATTTTTCTGAAGAAATTAAAAAGGAAATCTTTCTTAAAACAAATGAACATGAAAATACAACACATAAAAACCCAAGGGGTACAGCAGAAGTAGTACTAAGAGGGAAGTTTATACCAGTAAGTGCCTACAGTGAAAAGTACAAGTAACTTCAACAAAAAAAGCTATTGGTCTACCTCAAGAACTAGAAAAAAAAAAAAAAAAAAGAAGAGGAAGAAGAAGAAACCAAACCTAAAATAAGAACGAGGCAAAAATAATAACTACAGAACAAATAAATGAAAATGAAAAAGTACAAAAGATCAACAAACTGAAAAACTCATTTAAAAGGATATAAACAAAATGAACCAACCTTTAGTCAGACTAACAAAGAGAAATATTTAAAATTAAAAAGGAGACATTAAGAGAGATTTTGTTAAAAACAGGACATGGAGATACGTTATGGTCTAGCTAACACACTAATAGGATATCAAAGAGATGACAGCTTTGCCATGTTGACAACAATATGGGTCACAGCAGCCACAATAGGAAATCAACCAAGGTGTCCAACATCAGATGAATGAATAAAGAAAATATACCATGCAGCCAGAATGGAAAATGAAGTCCTGTTGTTTGCAGCAAAATGGATGACACTGAAGGACATAATATGGAATGAAGTGAGCCAGAGAAAGACAATTCTGCATATTCTTCCTTATACGTCGGAGTAAAAATTAAAAAAAAAAAAAAAAAGCTCAATCTTAACATAGAATACTGATTACTAGAGATTGGAAGGAGTAAGATATACAAGAAGTTCAGATTAAACACAACAGGGAGAGCTGGGGAATGGTCCGTTTATTGTGACAAATTTACTAACATAAGATGTTCTTAGGGGAGTGGGATGAAAGGTATATAAAAACTCTATCACTACCTCACAAATTTTATTATATACATTTAAAATTATTCTGAAATAAATTGTTATAAGGAAAAAAACATGAGCCTATGAAAGACTATGATGGGGCTGGTGTGGTGGCTCAGAAGCTAAACCCCCAGCTTACATGTGCTGGGATCCCATATAGGCACTGATTTGTGTCCTGACTGCTCCACTTCCCATCCAGCTCCCTGCCTGTGGCCCGGGAAAGCAGTGGAGGACGGCCCAAAGCTTTGGGACCCTGCACCTGCGTGGCAGACCTGGAAGAGGCTCCTGGCTTCGGACTGGCTCAGCTCCAGCCGTTGTGGTCGCCTGGGGAGTGAATCATCAGACGGAAAATCTTCCTCTCTGTCTCTCCTTCTGTATATCCGCCTTTTCAATAAAAATAAATCTTTTTTTTTTTTTAAAGAATCTGGTCTGGGAACACCTCAGACAAGGTTTCTTTGGGGATCTCCCCAATGGAACTGCCGGACTCAGAACCCCTAACCATGAAAGGACAGAAGATGGAACAAGTCAATCAACCACTTCAGCTATATGTTGGCAGCAAAATACGGGGCAAATGGAGACTCTATGATGGACTATGTCAATCAGTGGATTCTTCAGCAACCTCATCATGTTTGGAGTGGCGAGACTGGCAGCAATTCATAACTGGTAAACTATTGAAACCACGTGAACGAGTATCTCAGAGCATGCCCTACATACGGGACTTGGTGTGGGTGGGAAACTGGGTGGGGCTTCTCCCTTAATATCCCCCTTTACCTCAGATACATGAAGGAAACAATATGGAATTAATAATGTGACCCACTTTCCTGTAGCCCTTGAACCTTTTTATCCAAATTAACTATGTAAAGATTGTCAAAATAAAATTTAAAAAAATAATTAAAAAAAAGAAGAATCAGGTGCTGCTCTGCCTTTTTGAGATGGAACATTCATTTTCTCCTGCCCTGGGGCACCTGATTCTCAGGCCATCCCACTTCAGCCCTTAGACAAGTACTCTGCACCCTGTCCATGTCTGGTTTTGAGGCATCTGGCTCCAGAGTAAGAATTACAACATCAGATGCTCATTCTCACATCATTAGACTTAGCCTAACTGCACTATCAGGAATCCTGGTTCTGCACCTGCACACAGCATGTCACAGAGCCTCTTAGCCTCCATACTCACATAAACAAGTTCCTGTAATGCATCTTCCTGTGTCTCTCCCATTGGTTCTGCTTTCTGGAGAGCCATGTTGGCTAGGTGGTGAGATATATGTGTGTGTACATTTTTCACATTATTCTTTCTACATTTCTGGTCTGTGTCTGGAAATTTTCCATGAACATGGAAAATTATTATGGTAAGGAATAGACTGACAAAAACAAGAGAAAACTGTTGTTACCATCCAATCCCTTCTCACAAAGTGTTTAACTCTGAGCCAGTTTGACTGTCAATACAGAGAACTCAAGACCCATTATTATTCTCCACCCAAAAAATGAATTTTGCCATTGACGAATCTTCACAATTATCCAAAATAAGCAAGAAAATTGCTTCTATCATGCTTTGATTAACAGTGGCTTCATTCATCTAGCATCTCAGGCATGTATTCGTATACATCAGTTAAATGTATTATTATGTCTTTTTCTCATATTTTCTCTATTTTTTTAATAACATTACATCATTCTACTTATTTCCATTGCTACTTTCCATTTATGGCAAGTGACTCTTATTTTTCATTTACAGTAGTTTCTTTTCCAAATCAATTAATTTTAAAAAGCAGTTTGGGTAAGAATTATAAAGGTGATAACTGAATGGCTGAAAGTTAAAAGCACTAAGCAAAAAAGAAGAATAAAAACTACATGATTATCTCAAAGGACGCAGAAAGTACTTGATGAAATGCAGTATCTTCATGACAAAAGCCTTAAGCCAAGTGGGTGCAGGGGGACACTCATTAGCATACTGAAGGCAGGATATGACAAACCCACCACCAGCATCACACTGAATGGGAAACACTGGAAATCATTTCCACTAAGATTTGCAACCAGACAAGGATGGTCGCAGTCACCAGTGTTAATCAATACAGTTCTGGAAGTTTCAGCCAGAAGCATTAGGCAAGAGAAACAAACCAAAGGATCCACATCGCAAAGGAGGAAGTGAGATTACCCCTGTGCTCCAGGGTCTGGGGGCCTGGCCGGTGCTCCAGAGCAGGTGGGTCCTGGCCGGTGCTCCAGGGCAGTCGGTGCCCAGGGCGGTGGGGGGGGGGGGCCTGGCCGGGGCTCGAGGGCGGCCGGGGGCAGCACACTTCGGGGGAGGCTGGGTGCACCTCCGCACGGCCGGGGTGCTGGGACCACGCACTTGGCGGAGGAGGGAGGTCCGAGGGGCCCACCCCGACCTCGTGCCACATGTTATTTTTTTTAAATTCATTCCTGGAATTTTCCTGAGAAGTGACAAGAATTTCTTTGGTTGGCAAGCAACAGCACAAAAGATAACTTTACTCGTTTTCCCACAATTCTGCCCTGCTTGCTACATTACATAAATTGGACATAGTGCAGACACAAACGTCATTTTTCCAGAGACTCTTGCACTGACAAGTCATATCAGCTTCATGCTGCTCAGTTTGCTCCTTTTCAAAATAATGGAAATATTCAAATAGGTTACCTTTCACTCTGCATATAAAAGAGCTTGCTTTGTTGAGGATATGTGAGAAAATAACTGAGTAAGATGTCATGCCTAGGTGGTACAGAAGAAAGATTATAGTATTTCCTGATTTGCACATGTGCCTGTATATCCACTGGAGTTTTGAGTTTTGCTTTTGATAGTCAAATGTAAATAAGAGATCCTGGACATAGATGCTAGAAAATTTGGGAATTTTAGGTGTATTGCTATGTAGTATTTGAAAGATGAATCTGAAATAAAACACGTTATGCCTTTTATACTTCTCAGGTACTATTTATGATGTATGTGAAAAATTCCCATCTTCTCACGGGACTGCTAAGCTTCAACACAATTGACACTTTGGCATGGATACCTAGGGGGCGGGGGTGCTCATTGCATGGGTAACCTTAGCCTCTGCCCAGTGGTGGCCAAGAACAGCTTGCTGTTCCAGGCAAATCAAAATATTTCCAGACATTCCTCGTGTCACCTGAGGTCAAAATCACCCTCAATTACAAACCACTATTTTAAATGGCAATACATGTGTAGTATTTTATGGATTTCCTTTTCTGAGTCTAGAGAAGCAGCACTTTGTCAGGAAGTTAACCCTTGGTCTCATTCATTATTTGTAGGACTTTGTGAAATGTGAGAATAAGAAGAATGCTACTCCCAGAAGTAATTTGGACTTCCCTGTTTCAGAGCATAGAAATTCTTCCATCAAAAAAGAACAGAAGGTTTGTCTTCATTGTCAAGAACATTTCTGTAACTTTAACTTATGTATATTTAAACCAGGAGAGAAATAAAGATAGCAAATTCTGATCAGTACTTATCTAGAATGCCAGGTGTGCCCGGTATAACTCAGTTATCTTCCCTCTCCTGGGGGCTGTCTCTGCTTGGGAAGGAACCTAAAGCATTTGATCAATACGGGCACTGCTGATGTCATACGTGCCCGGTGAGGCTCCTCTTGCGTTTCTACACGAGAATTCATAACCTATCTGTGGCCTCTTTAATTCACCTGCAGTCATCACTTGTTTCCTCTGGCATTCCTCCTCAACAGTAACAAAAACTCTTCGTTTATTAGGTTTCCATACGTCCATCATCTAAGAAAACATACTCTTTACGGAGTCAGGCACCCACGATAGATGTAAACTTGACCACTAAGAAAAAAGAAGGAACATTTCAGAAATTTGGAGACTTCTTACAGCGTTCTCCAACAATTCTTCAGTCAAAAGGTTTGTAATGCATGGTGATCTTTCCATGAGATGTAGAGTACATTCTGATCTCTCATGAGCACATAGCCTCAACAGCTGCTTAGCGGATATCGCACTTTAAACAGGCCTGGTCCTGCATTGTGTACAATGAGAAGAAGTAGTTGAAATGATGAAATAGCCAGGTGTTTGCTGACAGTGCAGGAGAAAGGCTTTTACCACCTGCGGAGACCCAGTAAAGGACAGGAGTGTGGATGCAGTTTGAGGCAGCAGTAGGTGTCCTGCTCGTGGCAGGTGGAAAGCCCTTCGCGGGGGAGCGTGGACGATGAGGTGTTTTGGGGATTAGATGAGTGGAGCACTAGTATGAACTGGACACCAGGGGTGGGGAGAATGGGCAGGGTAGGGAAAGGGCCTGGCAGTGGGAGACATTAACTCAGTGAAACGGATTGTGTGATTAATATTTGCTATGAAAAACGACCCAGAGCTTCTCAAACGTCTTGCTTAGGTGCCCTTTAACTTTGAATAATCATTTTCTTTGTACGATTGTTTACAAAAATCACTCTGACCATTAGAACCTAAGGTGAAAGGACCATGGAAAGATTTGCTTGTGAAAGTCTAAAGTTCCAAAAATATGTCATCATTAGAAGGAATATGGTGTCATCTGGAACCTGTTTTGAGCTAGTCAGTGTCACTCTTTCCGGTGAAGATTGAAAACACCCTGATGTGTTCCTACAAGTCAGCTTCGTGTTCATCCACAGTTTGGGGGATTCAGATTTGTGAGGCCTCTTGGCTGTCCTTTCTTAATTAAAAATTTTTTGTGAGATAACACATTCTCATGTTCAATTATAGCCAGAGACTCAGCCCCACTAAATGGCTGAACCAACAGCAAAATGATCATAGTTCAGCAGGACCACAGGCATGAACTTTTAGATACGGAGCGTCAAAACTATCAGAGTATGCCTGACAGATTCAATACAGTTTTACAAAACGTACTGTATTCGTAGCAAACCCTTCTCTTTTTTCTTAAGGATTTGTTTTATTTGAAAGGCAGAGTTACAGCAAGAGGGAGAGACGGATCTGCCGGGCTGATTCATTCCCTAGAGGCCACAATGGCAGCAGCTGAGCTGTTCCAGGTCTCCCGGGTGGGTACAAGGGCCTAACGACCGGAGCCCTCTCCACTGCTCTCCCAGGCCTTCAGCAGAGAGCAACCAGGACATGAACTGGTGCCCATGTAGGGTGCTGGCACTTGCAGGCAGAGGATTGGGCAACTAAGCCATCACACCATCCCCGATGTTCACTGGACATCTTCACACATGAATAGGTACATCTAGTACCTTACTATTTTAAATTGTGCATAGTTGACTGGTTATGAGTTTACTGTTGCAGAAACCTCTTTCAAGTGACAAACGGATTAAAGATGATTGTGTTACAAATTATCATGTCGTTTTAAGATGATGAAACATTAGATAAGTTGTATTTTGTTGGGCCAGGTTTGTACATGAGGTTAATCTGCCCCCTGACGTGCTTCCATGTATGTTCTGGTTCATGTCTAACTACTCCAGTTTGAATCCAGCTCCCAGTAATGGCCAGTGTGTAGACTGCTGCCGTGCACATGCAGACTGGACAAAGCCCCTGACTCCTGGCTTTGGCCTGGCCCAGCCCTCGTCACTGCAACCATTTGAGGAGTGAACCACCAGATGGAAGATCTGTCTCTCCCTGTGTTTGTAACCCTTTCAAATAAATAGACAAATCTTTAAATTTATATATGTATATCGTTTATCTTTTTGTTTCCTTTGCTATTGTTCCATGCATTTTTTAGGCATTTAATTTTTCCTGTTTGTGAATTCTCTGTTTATGTCCCAATACCAGTTCATATTATAGTATTTTTCTTTGAATTTGTATCTGTTGTTTCTTTATTAAGGACTTCAAGCTTTGCAATAACAAAATAATTTAATTCAGAAATTAATATTTTTATTTTATAGCAAAGAAGATCATTGAAACAATGAGCTCTTCAAACCTCTCAAATGTAGAGGCAAGTAAGGAAAATGTGTCGCGACCCAAATGAGCCAAACGGAAATTATACACAAATGAAATCTCCTCGCCTCTGGATATATCTGGCCAAGTGGTGAGCTGGCGTTTCACTCTTCATCAGTATAAACTTCCTGTTTTTTTGTTTTGTTTTGTTTTCTCAAGAATTCCTAATGTTAGTGGTACTGATGATTTGAATCTCTACTGTGTAGACCATATTTCTTAAGACAGCCAGTGCTGGCGATGCACCTTTATCATAATGACACATAGACACCTCATCAGTGTAAACAAGTGTCAGGCTTTTTGTATTTGACAGTTTATCATAGGAATATATTTTCATTAGTAAAGTTGTTGCTATTTTGTAATTTTTTTGCATCTACCATTAATTTTTTTTTATCTTTATCATGAACCTTGTATAAATGTGGGCCCAGATGCGCCTGGTAAGAAGATGCAGCTGACATGTGGCTGTGTCCTCGCGCCCTGGCCGAGAGCCCTCCAGGTTCTGCAAGGGAGATGGTTGTCGCCCTCCTGTATGGCTCCTCCTCTTCACTCAGGACCTTCTGTCATTAGAAGGAATGCTCAAACTTTTCTGTAATTCTCTTGTTTGCTTAGTGGATGAAAGTAAAGGCAGAAAAGTAATTAAAGAATAAAAAATATTCAAAAGGAAGTGGTCAAGAAGAGCCAAGAGAGACTTTTTGTTTGTTTTTTTTCTGCAGGAACTGTCAGATGTTAGATTGATGCTTGAAGACACAGAGTTAGAGTCACTTAGGACATTGGGGCTGTCCTGCTAGTTACCGTCTGTGCGATTAGTATGTAATTTCAGTTCTTGGCTGAGAGTTATTTCTTAGTGGCAGAATACTGAACTTTGTAAGTTACATACTCATTGCCACGGTGGAAGATCCATTTCTTAAAAATGATTTGAGACGGGCCTGGTGCGGTGGCGCAGTGGTTAAGGTCCTCGCCTTGCACGCCCGGGATCCCATATGGGCGCCGGTTCTATCCCGCCAGCCCCGCTTCCCTTCCAGCTCCCTGCCTGTGGCCTGGGAAAGCAATCGAGGACGGCCCAAGGCTTTGGGACCCTGCACCCACGTGGGAGACCCGGAAGAGGCTCCTGGCTTTGGACCGGCATAGTATCGACCCCGTTGCGCTCACTTGGGGAGTGAATCATCGGACGGAAGATCTTCCTCTCTGTCTCTCCTCTCTGTATATCTGCCTTTCAAATAAAAAATAATAAAAATAAATCTTAAAAAAAAATGATTTGAGGCAATTGCCTCCAACTTTCTGGTAATTGTTTCAAACTATCCATGTCTGGAATTTAATACAGATTGTAGGTTATTTTTTAATTTTAGAATTGTGCAGCTAGATATATTACTAAATCGATTACTTTTTTAGGCATGCATTTTTTTTTTAAAGATTTATTTTTATTATTTTTTTTATTGGAAAGGCGGATATACAGAGAGGAGATACAGAGAGGAAGATCTTCCATCCGATGATTCACTCCCCAAGTGAGCCGCAACGGGTCGATACTATGCCGATCCGAAGCCAGGAGCCTCTTCCGGGTCTCCCACGCGGGTGCAGGGTCCCAAAGCTTTGGGCCATCCTCAACTGCCTTCCCAGGCCACAGGCAGGGAGCTGGAAGGGAAGCGGGGCTGCCGGGATTAGAACCGGCGCCCATATGGGATCCCGGGCGTGCAAGGCGAGGACTTAACCACTTGCGCCACCGCGCCGGGCCCAGGCATGCATTTTTATAGGAAATGGTTTGCCTCTGGTGTCTGAGGACAAAAAAATGCTTGTTTATGTTATTAATTAAGTGGATGAGCTTATGATCTGTTTCAAACTAGCTTTTTTTTGTTTTTCACTTACGTTTGCTGAGACTGTGAAATTACTGATTTCAGATTTTAATGGACCAAGGATTGAAGGAGAGTGACCACCAGATTCTAAAGCGAAGACTTCGAGCAAAAATGGAGAAATGAATGGTTCATGGAGGACATTACAATGTAACTTTATGTTATAATCATTGTAACGTTCAGCCCTACTCTATAAAGATAACTCTGTATATTATGGTTCATTAAATACCTCTGTATAGAGATTACTGTTTTATATATAGTGTTATTTTAATGCAATAAAGAAAGTAAGTTAACAGTTTGTCTGCTTTTTAAACCTTTTCAAAAACAGATTCTTGGGCCTGATGCTGTGGCTCAGTAGCTAAATCCTCGCTTTGCATGTGCTGGGATCCCATACGGGAGCTGGTTCTAATCCCGGCAGCTCCACTTCCCATCCAGCTCCCTGCTTGTGGCCTGGGAAAGCAGTCGAGGATGGCCCAAAGCCTTGGGACCCTGCACCCGTGTGGGAGACCCGGAAGAAGCTCCTGGCTCCTGGCTTTGGATTGGTGCAGCTCTGGCCATTGTGGTCACTTAGGGAGTGAAACCAGTGGACCGAAGTTCTCTGTTCTGCCTTTCCAATAAAAATTTTAAAAATCTTAAAAAACAAAAATGACAAAAACCAGTTTCTTTCCAAGTAGCCTATGTTTCTACTTTGGAGCAGTGAAGATCCTAGCAAAGACGCTGTCATTCTCATGTGTTTTTCTGCACATGATGTCATAGGCTGATTATTCAGTTTCTCATATTTAATAGTGTCTGCTAGACTGTGCAACTGACTTTAAAAAAACAAAAAGAAGATGTACTAATTTTATTTGAAGGGCAGAGTCGGGGAGAGAGGAAAGGGCAGTGGAGACCCTTCATCTCCGTCGCTCCCCCGGCGGCCGCAGGAGCCTGGGACTGCAGCTGCACCTCCCGCCTGACTAACGTCACCTGCTTTGTACTTGGGCTCAGCAACAAGTGTGTTAGAGCTGGTACCCACGTGGGATGCCTCCCTCGGAGGTAGCTGCTTAATCTGTTACGCCACACTCCTGTCCTCTGTAACCCGATCTTTACCTAGCTGGTTTATAATTAGGATTAAGGGAATAGGTGTGTGCAGATCTTCTGTTTGCCAAAACCATGTATGCAAATTATTTCCTCCTTGTAGTGCTAGAAGCTCATGCGAGCTGACTTGAACCCCTGCTGCCCCACTTTGCACCCAGTGGCCTGCAAATTCACACGGAAGGCAGTGGGAGAGGGCCTGAGTGCTTGGGCCGCTGCCACCCCGTGGGAAAGCAGCATGAACCCCAGATCCTGGCTTTGGCAAGGCTCAGCCCTGGCTAATGCAACCGATTGGGAGTGAGCCCGCACGTGGAGGCTCTCTCCCTCTCCCTCTTGGTAACTGCCTTTCAAATAAGTCTATCATTCAGACGTTAAACATGAAATTCAGACCAGAAAAGATGGAAGAACGAAATGAAAACAGCCGCCGTGTCCTTTGTGTAATTGGAGATCCCAAGTGATAAAAGGAAAAGTAGAACAGGAAGAAAAAAACAATACTTGAAGAAACAGTGATCCAAAATTTTCAACTTCTGAGGAAACGGTGGATCTAGAAGCTTGGCCATTGTCAGGATAGATCCGCACAGAATTACAGCTGCAAACACGGCTGTGAAACTGGTCAAAAAACAAAGAGGAAATTTGCGAGCAGACACGCTATTTACAACTACCAGCTAGACGGACATACTTGTAAAATGTTTATTGGATGAAGGACTTGATACAGACGCGTCAACAGAGGCACGCATTCTTACAATGTCATAAGTCATTAGAATTCCCTTTTGGGGAAAATGTAGGTTTACTTAAGCTGGATGGTACGGGTCTGTCTCTGGGCCTCTCGGCGCCATCGGGCAGAGCTGCACAGGACGTCTGAAGCGGCTGCAGGGACAGCACCGCGCGCTGCCTTTTCTGTTTTGGTTTAATACAGGCAAGAGCCAGGGGCAGTCACTGGCTGTAACTCGGTCGCCGGTAGCCGTGTTAGCATCTGCCGCAGGCACACGGGCAACGCAGCGCAGCACGGCACGGCCGGTGCCACCAGGCAACAGGGGTTTCCAACTCACCTCGTGGGATCGTCACTGAATCTATCAGCTTTTCACCAAATTGCTGTTACGCACGCTTGACGTGTGTGAGCACAGATAAGAAACTTAGAGCTGCCGAGAGCACAGCTCCGTGGCTACCAGGGAGGACGTGAACAGATGTTTCCAGAAAGCGACCGACGGAGGAAAAGCAGTGAGATGAGTGACGTGAGGCCAAAGCTGATGATGCCAGGACGAAGGCGCTGCCTCGGGGCGGGCTTGGGAAATGGGACTGAAAGCCACGAAGAGACCAGAGGAGAAGGATTGTTCTATACTTGCATTTTTGTACGTTCTCCACGCGGCTATTAAGCAAATTGTCCATTTGGGTGCATTTTACCATGTACTTTGCATTGTTAGCATACATAATGAATTACTATTTCATAGAGACCAGGATAGCTAAAGCTAGAAAACTAGCAAAAGTAAGTGAAAATCTCAAACAGTGGCATACCTTTTTTTAAAAAAAAAAAAGTTGCTATAAACTAAGTTTGTTCCATGTTTTCCTGCTCCCTCTGCTGCTTCTCTTATTAAATTTCTGTACTTATTTGAAAGAGTTCTAGAGCCCTTCCCTGGCTTACACCTCGGATGGCCGCAGCCAGGTGTCAGGAGCCTCCTCTGGGTCTCCCGCATAGGGAGCAGCGTTCCAGACACCTGAGCCATCGTACACTGCTTTCCCAGACCACAGGCAGGGAGCTGGATGGGAAGCAGGGCGGCAGGGTCCAGCGCCGTAGCCTAGCAGCTAAAGTCTCTGTCTCACATGAACCGGGATCCCATATGGGTGCCGGTTCTAATCCCAGCAGCCCTGCTTCCCATCCAGGTCCCTGCCTGTGGTCTGGGAAAGCAGTGGAGGACAGCCCAAAGCCTTGGGGCCCTGCACCCGCATGGGAGACCCGGAAGAGGCTCCTGGCTTCGGATTGGCTCAGCTCCAGCTGTTGCAGCTGTTTGGGGAGTGAATCAACGGGCGGAAGATCTTCCTCTCTGTATATCTGACTTTACAATAAAAATAAATCTTAAAAAAGAAAGAAAACAAAGTGGAGGCAGCAGGACACAGACCCTCTGTGGAATGTCTGCGTCACAGGCCCCAGTGTAACACTGTGTCACCATAGTGACCCCTCCCTCCGTTCTTGAGTATAACAGGAGATCATGTGATCCAACATCATGGCTTAGTAGGCTAAGACTCTGCCTGTGGCGCCAGCTTCCTACATGGGCACCTGTTCATTTGAATCCCGGCAACTCCACTTCCCATCCAGCTCCCTGCTTGTGGCCTGGGAAAGCAGTCGAGGACGGCCCAAAGCCTTGGGACCCTGCACCTGCGTGGGAGACCCATTGGAGGCTCCTGGCTCCTGGTTCCAGATCAACTAAGTTCTGGCTGCTGCCATTTGGGGAGTGAACCAGCAGACTGAGGGTCTCCTTATGTTTCTCCTTTCAAACAAAAATTTAAAAAAAAACTTTAAAAAATGTTTTTAGTAACAAATATTTTCAAGAATGTTTAGAAGAAACTTTAAGAAACTTTTAAAAATGTATTTATTTTTATTGGAAAGGCAGATTTATAAAGAGGAGAGACAGAGATCCTCCAGCTGCTGGATCACGTGGAACTGCGTCTCCCACGCGGGTGCAGGTCCCAAGGCTTTGGCTGTCCTTGACTGCTTTCCCAGGCCGCAAGCAGGGAGCTGGATGGGAAGCGGGGCTGCCGGGATACCGAGCAGTGCCCATATGGGATCCTTGAGCATGCAAGGCAAGGATTTAGCCACTAGGCTATTGCACCGGGCCCTTCGAGAAAACTTTCATAATTGAAAGAAATATCTAAAGGAAAATGATAGGGGCTGGAGCAATGGCTCAACCTGCTAATCTTCCACTTCCAAGCTCCGGCATCCCACTTGGGCGCCAGTTCATGCCCCAGCTGCCGTGCTTCCCATCCAACTCCCTGAATGTTTCCTGGGAAAGCTGCGCAGGAGGTCCAAGTGTTTGGGACCCTGCATCATGCTGGAGACTTGGAAGAAGCTCCTGGTTCCTGGCTTCAGATTGGTTCAGCTGTGGCTGTTGCGGCCATTTGAGAAGTGAACCAGTGGATGGAATTTTATTCCGTGTCTCCTCCTTTTGGTAAGTCTGCCTTTCCAATGAAAAGAATTCATTAAAAAAAAAAAAAAAGGAACATGGTAACTATTATCTTGATTTTCAATAGCATAGAATGAAAAATGTTATATATTCATTGACCTTATGCAAAATTGCATTTGTGATATTATCTGTATGTGGTTGTATTTTTCACTTTTATTGCTATATCCCATTATATATTCCGTAGGTTTCCAGTTTGGGACTATTTACAATTCAGAGAATTACCGCTGACAGTGCAATCCCATGAGCGTCCACCAGGTGGAGACAAAGCCCTTCTCAGTGCAAGAGTCTCTGGAAAAATGACGTTTGTGTCTGCACTATGTCCAATTTATGTAATGTAGCAAGCAGGGCAGAATTGTGGGAAAACGAGTAAAGTTATCTTTTGTGCTGTTGCTTGCCAACCAAAGAAATTCTTGTCACTTCTCGGGAAAATCCAGGAATGAATTTTAAAAATATCATGTGGCTGAAAATATGCCATTCACCCAATTACCTGAAATATTCTCAACTTTTTCTTGAGTCGTTTTTGATAAACCATCTATAAGAAGAGGGTAAGGATTTTCATATACTACAGAGTGGGATATTTTAAAAGAAGGTCACTCCAAGTATTTGTGCAGATAGAAATCACCAGCACAAGAAAATTAAGATACATTGCTCACAGGCCTGATTAAAACAAGAAACGTGCAGATGGAATTGTGTGGTTTAGATTTACTCTTATTTTACGCTGAAGTCTGAAGAACTCGATTGGCAGTTTCCGTTTTTCTTTCTGCCTCTCTCTATCCCCTCCCGGCAGGTGGCCCGCAGTGAGCCCCTCTCCGTCTTGGGCCTTCCGGGGGCTCTGAGGGCAGTGTTTGCACAACACCACAGCCCTCCCAGGTTCCGGGTGGCGGCAGCTGTCGCAGGTGGGCAGAAAGGACCAGTTGGTGACCCTGAGCCAACCGCCTAAGACCACAACAGTTTTAGGCCAAATATTTCCCAGCTGTTTGTCTTTTACTTAAATAGCATTTTAAGCGCAGACACCAACACTGCTTAAAAAGGTTATTCAGAGAGTG